CGGAGAAAGCAGAAGTTTAAGAATCAAAGAGGCTACACATTCAAAATAGAAATAAGAAATCTAGAAAAAAAAATGCAGAGTAAGAGTTTCTCGCTTGTCGGTTAGACTATCTCACCTTTGCCGAGTCCGCATCAGCTGGCTGAAGGAGCAAATCACCAAATTCACCAATAGTCCAGAATGCGACCTTAATCAGAATCATAAAAAAGGCATGGTGCGCTCCTATGAAAAGCTCTAAAGAGGCACATCAAACCACATACAGTACGGAAACCGGGTCAAATTAAGGGCATATTCTGTAACTTGGAACGTTCAGAATGAAAGCCGGCTGATTTTTAACATTGGAAGAGCATGCCGTGATACGCATAGAGACGCAGAGACGCCAGATGGGAGGACTGCAGAACAGGCAGCCGCGGAAACAAGAGCACACAGCTTTCCAAGCGATGAATTTGAATTTTATGGTTTTTGGTATATCATGGAAGGAAGCGGCTGAAGGCAGGGCCGGACTTCGCACCCCTGGCGTCCTTACCACGTAATTTCAATCGGAGAAAAGCTACGTGCGACTAGTACTTGCTCATCACATATGCGAAGGAGACTCCACCTACCACATAACTGCGGAATTTGTCTAAAATGAAATCATAGCGAGATTTAAAATAAGGGCTGATGTAATTGTATTCTCTTTATATATCGACAAAATTCTAACAAAAGCTAGTGAAATTGCCTATTCATGAGCTAAAAAATGTACAAATAATTCGGAACTCAAATCAGATTTAGAATATATCCTTACAGGCTATACAGAAACTGCTTTTGAGAATCGGTAAAAAGCAAACTAATAGCGACCGGCATTTCTCAGCGACCTATTGTTTGTTGCTTTGCATTCATGTGTTACTTGACAGGGAAAAGTCCACAGGTAGTTAAGGCTGAATTGAAGGGACAGTGGGGGATGGAGAGTCCGCTGTAATTTAATTGCATGGTCGTAGTCTCCTGTTGAGAGTCTTTCGAGTGGCATTGTAATGGGTTGAGAGAAATTTGTGTTGGTACATTCACCGTTCGATAGGTACTCCCACCTTCTTAGCCGACAGCGCAGAAAAGAACTTTTATTTCAGGCATTGATGACCCCTCCTTTACGCTTGACGGCTCAATCTCGGAAAAAAATTTGGTAAAATGGTAGGTGTCCTAAGATAGAGGGGGGGGGGGTCTAGGTGTATCACGCCATTCCACCCATCTCGGAAGTACATCCCCGCCAGGACAGAATTCCCACTAGCGGGCTCAGGACAGCACACTGCTGAAACAAGCCGCCTTGGCTGCGCTACACATGCCGCGTCCCACGCCCAATCGCTTGCAGGGACTATGACTAGTTCTGTCCACCAGGATGATAGCGGGTCCACACGGAGAACAACAGAGATCGAAGACACACCTGAAGAAGTGGTTGAGCATTCGTTGAATCTAGTTGAGCAGCTCGAAACAGTTGCATGGCGGCGTAATGTTGGAGCTCACTATGAGAGGATATTAGTTGGATCATACACGAAACCACTTCATCCGGTACATAATTACCAGCCTAAAAACAATGAGAGTACATCTAACTGTAATGACACGTAATACAGCACAACATAAACCACAAACCAAACGCAATACGGTAATCATCGTGTCAAGATGCCATTCGTGATTCGGTGAGAATCGCTCAGTTGCGACGTACATCTTTGACGCACATTCAGACTAAATCAATATTCATAAGAAAGGAAAAGATAGAAAAAGTGCGTAAAGCCATGAATAATGT